GGTAAATGAGGTAATGCTCGTTTATTCATGGGGAATTATTCTGTACTAGCATACTATCAGACGAGAACCGTGACTATTTGTAACTATTTAGTTATAAAACATTAAAATATTATATTTCCACCATTTGAAATACAAACGATAAAAGACAGTTTCCAGACATTTGTCGAAAAACTATGGTAATGTGGAGAAACGAGTGTCATGTCCCTCCAACACAAGGGGAGGATCCTCCGACCAGGCGAGCTGATCATGCCTGGCGGGCCGCGGGATAGTGGTAAATGAGGTAATGCTCGTTTATTCATGGGGCATCATTCTGTACTAGCATGCTATCAGACGAGAACCGTGACTATTTGTAACTATTTAGTTATAAAACATTAAAATATTATATTTCCACCATTTGAAATACAAACGATAAAAGACAGTTTCCAGACATTTGTCGAAAAACTATGGTAATGTGGAGAAACGAGTGTCATGTCCCTCCAACACAAGGGGATTATCCTCCGACCAGGCGAGCTGATCATGCCTGGCGAGCCGCGGGCCCAACGGTTGATGTTGGGAAGATATTTATATGCTAATCGTCGAGAGAATGGTTCATATCGCGATACAGGATTAGCAATTTTCATTCAGGAGGTACTTCGTAGTTCGATGTGTCTTCGGTAGATGGCGCTGTAGTATGTTTCTTTGTTTCGGAAGAAGTGAAGTCGCCACATCACTCCCCTCCAAGACCGGTGATCGATATCTTAATGAGTCAGCTGTCTATGCCCTGTTGTAGAGCGTGCCAGTAGTGAGTAGTTCTAGTAAATCAGAACTAAGAGCCGATAGCATTTTAGATTAGCCCAGTGATTTGGGACTGAAGTCCGCTGATCCCAGTAAGTCGGGATGGCATGCGGTGCGCGGTGTTGCGGTGGAGTCCCCAGTAGGTACCCCGACAGGTTGCTGCGTAGTGGCTGGCTGTTGCGTAGACGGGATAGATAGACGCTTATGAGGTAGTAGGGTAAACCAGGCTGGAACGATCGCTACCTGCGGTTGGTATCATTGTTGAGGCCGAAGTTACTGGCTGACTAAGACTTGATTACTGCTCATCGCTGTGGGTATGTAAACGATGGTGACGATGGTGCTGCTGCTGATCTTTTTTGAAGGCTGCTGCCAATCACGTCGGGGTCACCACTGTGGAGGAATCGGTGTCAAGTCCCTTTAACACAAAGGGAGGATCCTCCGGCCCGGCCGGAATTTCTTGATATTAGTAAAAAAAAATATATACTCGTAGTATAATACGGCTGTGTAGCGGATCGTAGAGTAACGTATACATATATAATCTACCGTTTATATTTTATTTAAGTTAAAATGTAGGTATGTATTCTTTATCAAGCAATTTTTATTCATTTATTTATCTCTTAATCGTACACCATTGTAGTTTTATTTGTACAGATATTATATACAATTTAGTATAACAATAGGTGGTCTTATCGCTCACGGCAATTTTTATCGCTTTTTTAGGTAGGCCTATGTTTTAATTAATATTAAAACAAAAAAAAAAAAACACTTGTCAATAATTTTACTTGTGATAAAAATCGATTGTTTACATGTACACGAAATCCTGATATGAAAGGGGAAAAACTGTATCTGTACTGTACTAGGAAAGACTGTACCTAATCTGCTAGTATTTAGCGACTTTACAACCTCACATATGGAGTCTGGAGGTCAAGTGCATGCTGTGTTTACAGATTTTATCAAGGCATTCGATCGTATCGATCATTTGCTACTCCTACAGAAGTTGAATAAAGCTGGAATACGCGGTAACCTATTCAGGTGTTTTTCCTCAAATATTACAAATGGATCTCAGGCTGTTGCAACTAACGGCTTCACGTCTGCATGGCTGCCGATCCCTTCTGGTATTCCTCAGGGTTCCTTATTAGGACCATTGCTCTTTATTATTTTTATTAATGACATTTTCTCATGCTTTAATCACGATAGTTTTTGTTTTATTGTGTTTGTCTCTGTCTTGTTGTGTGTTGTCTCTGTTTGTGAGTTACTGCAAATGAATCTAAATAATTTTCAAAAGATTGTAAAAATAAAAAAATTGAAATACATGTATCCAAGTGCTTTGCAGTTAATTTTAAGTGCTTTATTGTGCACTGGTACACAGTATCCTCGAGTATGAGTCGGCGGTTTATAACCCGCATTGTAATATATGTGTTTATTGATCATATTGAGTCAATCCAAAACAGTTTTTTAAGATATTTGCAGTATAAGTGTAAGTGTATTGATCTCGTATATGTGACAAGATGTAAGAGATATCATATTCTGCCAACAAATAGACTTACTGTCTCCGAAATTGTTACATTGTTAAAATCATTAACGGAGATAGAGATTGCTCGATTCTTGTCGAGAAAATTAAAATCAGAGTACCGAATAATATACACACTAGGCATAATCCACCCTTAGCAGTACCTCGAACAAATACCACAAAAAATCCTTTATTATTCAAGCCACTAGATCTGTAAATGATATGCATAAATTGAGTAGCGAGTTTGAGCTCTTCAGATCCAGATTCAGATGTCAAAAAAATACATGCTTAAAAATTTTTTTAAGCCCAATCTCAGAGCGTGACATTTTCTTAGTCTAAGTTTTTTTTTTGTTTCCAAAAATGTGTTATTCCTATTAAGTAATTTTATTAAACGTACTTTTTTTTGTGGTTGTTGGTTATTATTTGTATTGTTATTTGAACTGTTGTTCACACTTGAACTTGAACTTGTGAATAGCTTCGTTGTTACTTTATTATAATGTTTACCTTACGTTATTTTTGCTGTTGGTATTCCGAACAAAATAAAACAAAATAAAAGATAGGCATCGGTGTGTGCTCGGCTTGTTAATCCGTGTGTAGTTAAAATTCAATTAATGTACCGGTTATCGATTTTAGTAAATATCTTTTCTGAAATTTTAATTCGCTAATACACTGTAACTTAGTTGATACAATCTTTCTTCAATGTGTTACAATATTTCTTAAGTGTTATACATAATTTTGATATAGTGTCTATCTATGAAAGTGATTCCTCACCCCTCTAGGAAGAACAGTAAAGATAACTACTTTCTTAGTAGTCAGCTTAATAGGAATATTTATTGTAGATATCCAAAGACCTTCAAATAACAATAACTAACAGTAATATGACTGTCTTTTCTAAAACCTACTCGTTTGTTGAACTCAGTTAACAAGTACAATTGCATGTATTTTCTCATTGAATTATTCGATCTGAAAGCTTATAAGGGCATATATGGGCACACTATTTTACTTATGCCGAGCATCCTACACCTTATTCCCCAATAAAGATCCTCGCGTGGAATATAAAACAGGTCTAGACTACAGTCTCATTGTTAACAGCCAGTAATATGGTAAACGTGATGCTAACTGTAAAATTTATTTGTTACATACAGAGTTAAACGGTGCACCTTATAAATAAATTTCAATTGTCTGTTGTCATTAAATATTTGCTGTTATAAATCAAAGCTTTATCGGAGCTCGTCGTTGTAACGGTTACATCGCATACGCTTCGGGAATATAATTTAATGATAGCGATAGTGGCGCTGGTACACGAGAGAATTGCGTCGATGCGTTAATGAAGCCGCGCTACAGCAATCTGTGTTGCAGCAATCAATATTATTACCGTATGTGGTACCGAATAACAAGGTATTTAGGTACTGTTAAAAATATATATCATAATAGTAAATGTGTTAATGAAGCCTCGGTACAATAATGTGACTATATTATTACCGTATGTGGTACTGAATAACAAGGTATTTCTGTTAAAAACATGTGGAATTTATTTTTCAACTGCATGAGCTTTCTAAGACACTTGTTTTCTGTTTAATTCCATCCATTATATTGCAAAAGTTCTGCAAGATGTTATTTAAAATTACAGAACGTGTTATGAAAACTTATAGAGTTCATAGGGAGATGTAAGAGGCCTTTCTACTACTACCTTAGAAGGTATAGATTGCTGTAAGTTTAATTTTTATTTGAAATCTTCACTACTTTAAAATTACCTTGATAACTTAAGATTCGGCTGCCATTTAACAATTGATAATAATTACGATGTGCGAATATTGCGGTTCGTTAGATTATGCTTTGACAAATCACGACTTTGCAATTCCAATGCAGCAGATTTAATGTATGGGCGGCAGTTTGCATTCTAACCGCGACCCGACGGGCCACCTCTTTCCTAATGCACGCTTATTTGAGCTTTTTAACCTTTCATCTGTTGTTAGGTTTAAGCATTGAGCGACAATAAGCACAATACAGATACTTAATGTAGTGATTGTCTTGTACAAGCACAGAGTACTGCGATGTGGTTACAAATGTTACTTGATCTCCCATAATTTGATGAACAGAAATATAAACACATGTATGAAAGTAATTTTCGACTAGGAAGATAGAAGATTTCTAATTGTAATTTAAGGGCTATGTTTTAGTAATTAAAGTTCCATTGAAATTAGTTAATTAATTATCTAGCCCATAAAACGACAGTTAAATAAGAGAGACGATTTAATGCAACATATGATTGACACCTTTTGAGTTAGGACTAGTAATAGTTTTTAATAGTACTCGTATAATAAGACACACAATACGTAAAAACCGTATACGTAATCCGTAAACTTATTAGGTATCGTTATAGAATTCATATTGTTATTAATAAGTAGAAACACAATGGTCATATCTTCTGCACAGTTCTTTGAATGCTAAATCAAACGTGATTATTTTAACACAATTTACCTTCCACGATAAAGTACCATTACTTTTGTGAATATACATAGGTCTATAATTAGTGATATTCAACATTTTACTAAAACAATTTACAGAGAGATCATAAAACCATGCCTTAATAGCAAATACTTAACATTAAACGTCGTAGTGAGGGTTGATAAGTACGGAGTTAGAGGCAATCAGATGTTTTGTAAGAGTCGTTTTCATTATGAACACGATGGGGCAAGGCCCGCGGCAAGTGGCTCTATTCTGGAAACAGTTCTTGCGAAATGTTGAGCAGCTTGGATAATGGTTGAGGGTAGGAAGGACGGCGAGGCGGGGCGCCGCTGGCGGGCGGCTGGTGAAAGGGCTGGGCGGAGCGGCGTGCCCGGCGCCGCCCACCGCGCATTTCACCACCGTCGCCTCGCAGCGCGACGTTCCGAGCGCGCCCTATTTCTATCGACAGGTCCGCTCTTGGTGTTCCATTGTGAGCCTATTGCCAACTTCGGCGAACAATACTATTGTGAAACGTTTAGATAACATCCCCGCGGCACGTAATTTGGTCTGTTAATTCAATTCTATCTTGAGATAAGGCGAACTCATTTTAGAGTTTACACTGATGTTAAGTATTTAACAATTCTGAATTACTAGTTTAGAAAGTTCAAAAAGGAAATTAGAAAATAAAGAATTAAAAAAAAATACTCCGACTTTTCAAAGAAGTAGTTCAACGTATGTATTTTTCTATAAATTACCTGATTTTGAATTTACATATTTGTTCTAAACTACACGCATACTAACTAAAAAAGAAAGCTATATTATCAGGTAACACTTCACACACACACATAGATAAAAATAAAGACTAACAAAGTTGCTCTTTGCTCAAAGTTTGAACCATCTAATAGGTATAAATGTGTTTTATTATAGTATATCCCACTAAAAACATTTTCATGTAAAATGTTGCCAAGACGAGTCTATCGGCTCGTATTATCAAAAAGTTATCTAGTGTAGAACCAAGCCTTTAAATCTACACGCCCTAACTCTACAAGCCTTAACTTCACAAACTCTATAGCTTAGTCAGAATATGTGGCTTTGCCGTTTCGTTACTTAAAGAACTATTTGATAACAGAAAAGTAATGAACTTGAATCAATTTTTCACCTTACGCCCTTGGGATAGTAGCGAAAGTCTGTCTGAAATACATATTATGAAAGTGAAAGTGAGTTTGTTTGTTTATAACGCTTTCACGCCTAAACCATTAAACCGATTTAAAAAATTCTTTCACCAATGGAGAGCTACATTATCAGCGAGTAATATGGTCCACACACGTGAAATACACGTGAGCGGAGCTACGGACAAAAGCTAGTCTTATATATCTGAAGATTTATTATAGTATATTTATTAGTGACGGAAGACTGATATAAAATTTGTAAATTTTATAAACACCCTAGTTTTTGTTTTTTTTTTGACCGAACTTATTATATTAACACTTACTTCAATGATTGTTAACCCTAGTTGTAGGTGATATGCTAATGGGAGTAACTCGTGGGTTCTCTGTAAAGGAAGTCCATACTTGATTTGATAGTCGGCTGCTAAACGCGCGCCGTCGCTCACGAAGGTAATTGCGCTGAAAGGCTTCAATTTGAACCGCGTTTGGTTGTAAATAAGACGTCTTTGTACGCTGAGGTAAAGAGGCCGCATTACTCTTATTGAGGCCTGGAGCTGGCATTATGTGGTCGCCACCGGCGCCTACCACGCACTTGCTCACTACGTAGTTAGCGTACACGATATGATTGCATATAAAACACGCAATCTTTAATGAACTGCTGATGAAAATAGCATGATAAATCACAACGGGTCTAAAATACACAGGTGACCTCTGAAAACATAAAGGTGAGGCCTTACCGCTCCGAAGTACATTTAAATACACTTAAATATGGTGTAACTTGAACGACCATATCATTAAGTTCAATACTTGATGATTTGCCATTTTAGTGAGTCCAACATAATCATGTAAGTGTGTACAAAACTTTACGTAATCGCATCACATGTGCAGCTGAGTTATTTTTGTACTGTGACTAACATAATATAACGTCATTAAAATTTCACAAGTACTCTCATTAGAAATTCAGCACTATTGCCCATTAATCTGAAGGGGCGTACCGTGGCACGAGCGGCGCACTATTGAACGCGTCATCTCTGCGCTCACCTCATAGGTGAGTACGCAACGTAGGCTACGCTGTGCTGTGCCCATATTTTCGCGTCGGATGTCACAAATCCCAAAAGGTCGGTGAACCGAAACCCCATTGTTTCGAGTTGCGTCAACGGATCGTCTGCCTCAAGCTACGATGAATTGAATTAATTCGTAGTATTTCTATAGCAATATGTTGCGGGACACTAATCAATAGCAACTATCTAGTATTATCTGGAATTAAACTTAAATTTCATTAAATACGTGTTAGACAGCTGTTTTATGTAAATGCTACTTTTATATAAATAAGGTAATTAGACTAGAAAATAACTATAAATTATAATGTTAAATACTATAATTTAACATCTACAGGGCCTGTTATACCCACCTTTTTTTTTCCGTGCGGAAATCCCCTCGGGTACAACCTATCGGTGGCATGTCGGACCCGAACCGACTAAAACCGCACGCCGTCTCGGGTACTAATAGCCGGGGAACCAGGTATACCCTAGAAAGGAAGTCCCTGGTGCCCCGACATACCTCGGGCCATCTACAGACGAGTAGACGACCCCCCCGTGTGGAAACCCCATGTTCCCTCTGCTCCCTGGAAGCGAGCGCGCTTAGCAACGCGCTCGCCGCCACCCCGGCCTGCTTCTGCTAGGGTGACAGATGTTATACCTACCTATCATTTACTAAGTTGATATAGAGATTACAAGTTTTGAATCATTTAAAAACCACCAAAACAGTATATTTTGATCTCTTTACTTATTTTGAATTAGTTTTTGTGTTTTAATGTTATAGATATGGAAATAAAACACACAAGATAAATTCAATCAACGAGTTGCGTTAAAATATATGACTTAAATTACATTACAAACAAGCTAAGTGAATATATAATATTGTTGCTTTTCGTTTATTGACATTGTGGTATATGTCATAAATATAATTATCTCCCTTGTTAAACTATTCTGAATTTAAAGTTAATGCTTCGCAAATAACTATTGTCGGAAAATTAAAAAAATTGGAGTATTAAGAAATTACGTATACTTCTTATAATATTTTAATAATCTAGGTCGATGCCTGACGCCTGCATCTCCGGAGGGGTAGGCGTATAAAACGCACATCCTTCCGACTATAATTTAGACTATATATTTATCTCTATGGCTGGTTACAGCAGCAAGGAAATAATATTCAATTTATTTAATTTTAAGAAGTCTTCAAAGTGAACTAGTCACCAATTACTACTCTTAACAACAAGCAATACTGTATGCATAATGTGATTAAAAGGAAGTACACACGTAACAAAATCAGGTGGAGTACATTCAGCGAGTGCTGGCCATATGAGTGATAAAGGGGTATCGCACGATCTTCTTTGAGGCGGCGGGTCTCCTGGCCGGAACTCCACCGTGGGACCTGCAGGCGAGAGCCCTAGCGGCTCTGTATCAGTGGCGCAAGGAGGCACGGGAGTTGGGTCGGAGTCCTGAGACTCGAGAAATCATCATCATCATCATCAGCCTATCGCAGTCGACTGCTGCATTCCCATTGCACCCACTTAGATCGATTTTGGGCTTCTCGCATCCAGCTCCTGCCAGCCATCTTGCTCAAATCGTCACTCCACCTGGCCTGTGGGCGTCCTACACTACGTTTGCTGAGACGCGGTCTTCACTCCACTCGTTTTCTCCAACGGTTGTCGGTTTTTCGGCTAATATGGCCAGCCCACTGCCTTAGCAGCCCGACCTTGGTTCTCTGCCGGATCACCTCATTCCTGATGCGATCCCTGGGGAAACGCCGAGCATAGCCCTTTACATAGCACGTTGAGCGACTTTGAACTTTGAGCCTTACCGTAAGTGTCCACGTTTCGGCTCCGTATGACATGACGGGTAGGACGCACTCATTAAAGACTTTCGTCTTAAGGCACTGAGGGATCGACGATGAGAAGACTCGACGTAGCTTCTCAAACACTGCCAAATCCAACTGAATTCTTCTGTTCACCTCGTCCTCGAAGTTGTTTCTACCTAACTGCAATGTCACACACATAATTTGTGTGTAAACATAATTTTGAACAACTTCGAGAACGGCACCGTGTATCGCAATCGGTTCCGGTAGTACATGTTCGTTGAACATGACCTTGGTTTTAGCCAAATCATCCGTGAGCCGATGCGTACAGAAGAGTCAGCTAGGTCATTCAGCATCTGCTGAAGGTCCTGCAACGCCTCTGCTATGATGACGATGTCGTCTGCAAATCGCAAGTGAGAGATGTATTCTCCATTGATATTGATGCCACGCCCTTTCCAGTGCAGCGTCTTGAACATATCGAGAAATCGAGGACCAGAAATCCCAACTCCACCGGGTCCTCGTTATTCCGGCGGTAAGACCTGTTATGGAGCATTGGCTCGAGAGGCATCATGAAAAAACATGGGGGTTCCCATACAGGATCCATCTACCATACTCGTACGTCGGGGTACTAGGGATTTCCTTTTTAGGGTACACCTGGTTCCCCGGCTATTGGTTCCGAGACGACGTGCGGTTTTTAATCAGTTCGAGTCCAACATAGCCACCGGTTGCTGGTATCTAAGGGGATTTCCGCACAGAAAAAAATAAATAAAAAATAAAATAAAAAGGTGGAGTACATTTTTACAAGAATATCTTGTAAGAATGTGCCACCTTTTTTTTCTGTTATAATATATTATAATAATAAAAAATAAGAACATAGAAATACCAATAAACTAACTAATAATAACTGTAATCAGCTGAGAAATATTAATCAATGACGATTGTTGAAGCTTTTCTTAAAATCACTTATTATTGCAAAAGTAGATACGCAACATCGAATTCCAGCCGTGGGAAACACCTTCAATCTATCTTAAATCTTAAGTGACTGTAAACATTATTTATAACATAATTATACCTTGAATTGATTTATTTAACACAATTTTACACGACCCCAAGAATCTGTTAAATTTACTTAAAGACAAAACAATATGATCGAACAAGGATAGCATTGTTCCCGTGTCGCGTATTTCTCAAAAGGTTCGTCTCGGCGACAATCACCCTTCGAACAAAGACGTTTATCTCTTCGAGACTTCTTAAATGGGTATAATGTTTAGGAGCGCGACGCACCGGTGAGCACGAATTGACAATAAGAGCAAAGTTCAGCTCGGTTCAGGACTCGAGAGGAATGTCGGGGCGCGGAGGTGCGGGGCGTACGCTTGCGAAGGTGCTACGGTACTAACCTCTCTACAAAATCACGATTAGGCACTATTTATATCGACATTTCTAAAATACCTATACCTGTATCAGACAATATTAAGCACCTAGTACTACAATATTAAGCAACATTCTGAGCTCCGCTGTTAGAGAGGTGCGCTTGTATTACAGTTATAGTTCCTCACATGATCTTTAGAATTATCCTAAATTACACTAATAGCTAAATAACAGAGTACGGTAACTTATGCACCGTTCTTTGTCCCTACAAATGCTTAGGCATAAATCAATGCTTATCTAAGCTCAATGACGTCAATTTTTTTTTGTGTGACATCCTATTTGAGAGTTTATTCAAAGGTAACTATTGCTCGTCATGTACCTAAGCAGTATTGTCTTAAACAGTTTATCTCGAAGTGGAATGTAGAAAATAAATGACTGTGTTATCATTAGTTTTTATATAATTGACAGTAAATAAGGGACTGGTTATCGGGTCAGTGAGTCGACTTAGAACACTAAAAGCGATCGTCTTCTAAGTGGAAGAGTGCAGGCGAAAGTAACGTCGGAATGCTACAAACTATGTTCACGCATGACCCGCAGGTCAGCCGCACACATTCTGACACATGTCAATTACGAACCTCACTGCCTCCAGGCGCCGATTGAGTGCTTGGACATGTTTGTGGAAAACCTTCGTCACTCAGATTGATTCATTACTGTTTCCAATTTACAAAATTTATTGCACGGTGAGCCTTGAACATTCATGCGCAATGTAGCTACCTACTGTTCATCCATTTTCTAATGGAGATTTTTCCGTCTTTGATGTACGGTTTCAAATATACGTATACATAAATAAATTTATTAGCTCATAAACTGTCAGTAACTACAAGCAATAAACACAGATGGCATGGAGTGGTAATTTGTTTATCCAAACTGACAATTACAATGTTTGGTGTACTCGTTAATCGTGTTCACTGTGCATTCACTGTGTACAATGATATACAGTCGCTTCGTTACTTCTCAAGTGTGTCTGCAGTTGGCAATTCACCGCTCGTAGATCGATCAGCTCCTATTATTGGAAGAGGTCGGACGTGTACAAACATCGATTTCGTGTCGTTAATCTGTGGCTGCGTCCCCGAGAGGTGAGAGCCGATACTGAAAGCTCACCTCACGTATCGTTGTAAAGATAACGACTTATAACCATAATGATACCGTCTAATCTGCAAATATATAAATGCCGTGTAGTGGTTGCACGCCCGAGCCTAATTGGCCTCGGTAAAATGTTTGGCATGGGTATGGGACAGAGCGATTTTTTTATCTACATTTTTTCTCGAATAAATAATTGTGGAAGTAAATTGAGATACATATGACATACATAAACTTATTTTTATATATGTTATGTTTTATATAAATATTTCAATAAATATAAACTCGGTTCCAAAAATAACGGGTCAGTCACATAAACCCGAATATCTCCCGAACTACGTATGCCATCCTAAAGAAACGAAGACTGTTCAATTGAGAATTTAATTATACAGATAAAAATAAAATAAAACTTAAATCTAAACTCTCTAACTCTTAACTTATCTCTAAATTAAAAAAAAAAAACTAAAGTAGTCATATTTTTCTTAAGATTACATTTTTTTATGATTGTTTTTTTGCTGTTTTTCATCACTTTCTTCATTTAATACTTTGTATTGCCTCCACGAGCTCTTCTGACAGCTTCCAGGCGATTAGGCATGCTGTACACCAAATTTCGGAGCCGGTGCTCAGGAATACCTTCCCATTCCTCCACCAGTGCTTGTTTGAGCTCGGGAAGCGTGATTGGTGGGGGGTTTCAACCTTTCACGCATCTCTGAAGCTCGTCCCAGGCGTGCTGGATGGGGTTTAAGTCCGGGCTTCGCGCTGGCCACTGCATGAG